TCCCTGAGCTCAAGCATTTGCCAAAATAAGACGATAATTCTCTCGACCATTCGAGTAAGTCTGGCTTAGACGGTCGTAGCGACTTATGCCAATGGCGTATCCTTGGCTCAAAGGTCCTGCGCAGAAGTTTGTGGACGGTTCCTGCACTCTTACGCACCTACAATTTGCGGGGTTTCATGGCTCGGTGTGTGACTGCCAGGAAATTTTTTCCAACACATGATTCTATAATCTTTCTGTTCAGTAGGCAAGCCTAATCCACAGGAGGACTGAACTGCAAAAATTCTGGGTAATGCAGCATTTTTTAGCTAGTGCTAGTAGTGGCTTGAAATCGCACAAAAACCTTTTATTTTCAAACTAGATTAGCTCCTTCCTCTACCAAACAGTATCTTCAGTTCAACCAATGTACTTTTTACGTTTTCCGTTTTAAGAGTAATTTCGTGCGAGCAACGGAAAACCTTGCTGAACGCCGAGCCAGCCGCAAGTCTTTCGCCGTAAGTGCAAATCTATTTGTTTTTTTATTATCTTTGCAGCTAATAGTCTTTGGTAATGTTGGCTTATATGGCTCTCCTAGCTGGACATGGGAATAGGAACCGCTCGTAAAACAGCTGGATTTCTGCTAAATTCCAGCGAATTTAGAATTGTGGTTAGGGTGGGTGGTAAGATAATTTATGCTTAGGGTAAAGTGGGGTTAGGTCGTATGAATATTTACCCTTCCGAGAACTTGGTGCAACGGTGCACTGTGTTATGTGGGGGCGTGTTTTACAGCCCTTGGACGATGTCCCAAAAAGTTCACTCGACGCTTTAACGTTGGCGTCTGTAGGTCATGCTTATTTTTATCCGCCAATCAGGTGGCTCTCCGGAGGGCAGTTATGACTGCTCCTATAGGAGCAGTTGCTGCAGTATCGTTTGGGAATAGTTTCGCAGCAGAACGCTTTGGTTATAGCCTTTTTAGCTTATTCTTACCACCCAGCTTCGATTGCATTAGCCCCTCTCCCTCTAAGGTCATTAAAACTGAATATAGCGTGAATCGACCACCGTAGTTATGTAGCAGAAAAAAACTTGAATTAATCAATGTCCATTTCTATACAAAAATCGCCCTGAGGCGAGCACGAGATAAAGCAAGCATGTTGAAAATGAGGTTGCTTATGACGGCAGCGCGTTTTCCGGATTGAGATAGGGAAAGGAGATTATACAGGGAGCGGCAAAACGAGGCCAGCAACTGGCGCCAATCGACAACTAGGCTCAGGCTCTAACATCAACTGGTTTGGTTGTCCATTCAAACCACTCTCCCACTGACGGCCAAATTAATGGAGTAATCAGCAATAACTGGCCAGATGATTGAAACCAGTTGGGGAAGTAACAGCGCAACAACAGCTGGGGGAGAAAACGGATATACCGAAGTCTCCGATCTCACGTCTTAGCAAATTGTGAGGGGAATGAATATTAATCCGAGGATTAAAAAATTCTGCTCTTTATACACTATTGCCTGGCTGACGGGACGGTCCGCAGTAAGGCAGGCGCCTAAAACGATCGTGTTTGTACTTTCTTACCTTTTTGTTATCTATGAGTCACATAATAAATCAAGAATCGGAGAATATAAGACAATAGCTTGTATCTAAAAGTCGCTGGAACTTTTGGTTTGCTAATTGAGCTTCCCAACAGAGAAATTTGACGGCCAGACGTTGCAGCCGTGCAGCAAACATGAAAAGAGCAGACCTCATCAAGGTTTCATCCCTCACATATTGGCAATGGACACAATAGACGCTCCACCGGCTCATCTGTTATCAGCAGCCCTTCGATTGTGTTGCGGCCGCGTATTATAAATATCACAATTTATTTGCTTTGTTATGCCTCTGCTAGCAGCTTTGATAGAATTCGGAAGTGCGTCAGCCAGAGAATTATTCTTTAGTTTTTTTTGCTAGAAGGATTTTTCTATGGTTCTTTCATTATGGCTACACCGACTGTAATTTTGGGAAAAAAAGTATAATTGTAAACTGTCATTGTAGGTTCCATTCAACGTCGACGACGAGGACGACTGTTTCACCCCTTCAGCGACTGATATCCCGAGGCATAAGAGCGTTCCTGCCTCACGTCTCGAGGGGGACTTCCGAACTGTGCAATCTCGCGTGAATCCGTATCATACTACGTCTGATGTTCGTTCCCAACTCTAATCATAGACATGGTTTTTATACTAACTTGTTTACTTAAAATTTAGAAGTAACTGGTGTTGTTAATTTACATTTATCATCTCCCTGTGTCAAGAGTAATTTCGCGTACTTTACAGTAGATCACCGCTTTGGCATACCCATTCTGACCGGTCCATTTTTTATGGCATATCTAGCTTGTCTTTAAATACATAGCCGACATCTTTTTACCTCTTTGTATTGTTTAAGTTAGGTATTGATATCCATGTAAGTCAAGGTTACGAAGGTACGTTTTCGGTTATTCGTCATCAGGCAAATAAAATAATATAGGGCGGTGGGGGGGGTGGACTGACAAAAGTGTAAGCATCATTTCAACAGTAAGGGACGCCACTATCGTTTGTAGCGCATTACAGAAACAACGCAGCAAATTGAACTAATTGTCGGATCCCTTCCCCTGTCCCTATCTAATCTCTTGATATGACTAGAAACTGACCCATTGGTCTCTGAATCCCATTCTCCTCCCTTGCTGACTATTGATTGGATGCTTAAACTCTTATCCCTCTACACGCCCTTTTATTATCGTAATTGCCTGATATTAAATAATCGAAAATGTACCCTCGCCAAATTGGACTTCTCGAATCTTTTAGTCTATTTTAAATCAGAAACGATCATATTTTGAAGCTCTCTAGGAAACGTTAAGATGCATATAGTGGAAGAAAGGTGCTCATCGATTGCGTTATAGAATACGCTCTTCCCGTTTTGCTTTCGGGCGCATTCTCGAGCCCCACAAACAGCCGCTCCGTGGAAGGCGCCTCACTACCGCTGTTACTCTACCCAATTGCCACCGACACGACAACAAGCCCATGGCTCAATGTTTTTAACGTTGAGCGATAAATGCACGATAGAAAATAAATTAAAACCGGTTGATATTGTTTACTTAACTAAAATTGTAGGCGAAAAGGAAACCTGCTGGCCAAAAAACTATTATATCAACCCTATTGGTTAATAAGAGAAACATCTAGACGAAGCAACCAGCTAGAGCAACCCCCTTGGCCATTAGGCGGGCTGTTGTTTAATAAAAGAAGCCTATTTCGATTAGGCGGCCGCACAAGAAAGTCCTACTCTTTCTCGTTAAACTCTCCATGATCACCATTTGCAGCAGATTGGCTAATAAAACTACAGCAGACTAGTTTGGCGAGCGTACGTGCACTTTCGATAAATTTTCTTCGGGCCAATACATTTATATGGGAGGGGTAGAATTCAAAGCAGCGGCCGATAATGTTCATATTTTCTTACAAGCGGGAGCCAACAAGAGCGCGGATGAGTGCATGCCGCTAAGTAACTGCGGGCCACGCCAGATGTGGAACTTGTACGAACTTCTTTTGCGTACACAACGCCGGCAGGCGCTGACTCAGGGACTTTGGATAATTTGGTGGTATCTTGTAGATCACTCGGTCCACCCGATGTCCGGAATCAACCATGTGCGCCGGAATAGAGCTGTTTTACTCCTTCCACATAAATGTATTGGCCTGAAGAGAATTTATCGAAAGTGCACGCATGCTTGCCAAACTAGTCTTCTGAATTCTCTGATGGGAATTTTCGCAACTCTAATAAGACTACTTTGTGAGTGTGCTGGGGTGTCCAATAATTATTCTGCTATCTCGAAACCTGTTAAATTTTAAGTTGGAATGGAGCACAGTTGGTGCTGCTGAGCAAGAAGCGCTGCTGGTCTGCAAATAGGACGGATTTAGAAGCGAAGTACTGGTCGAAGGTGGAACAAGGTAACTAATACAATTGGCAGCGACTTGTGTGCACCCTGGTCCATCAACCTAAATTCATGTTGCAGCTATAGTCGCTGCAGGATTAAGCTTTTAACGGGGTCTACTGGTTCTTAGATTCAGTACCGTTTGAGTGGGACGCTTAGTCTTCGAGGTTAGACTGCTGGCAGTTTTATGAGAGGGGATAGTCATGAATCCAACTCGAGAGTGCCAGGGACCGGGTAATGCACTCGTAGGGCGCAGACAAGCCAGGAATGACACTCACGCTGACCTTCCTCTTGTTCTTTATGGCGATGTTGATTTTGTTGAGGCTGACGATGAGAATGAGAATTCACCTTTTAGTCTTTACTTTGAAACTTTGGCTCTATAGTTCACACAAGTGGTCACGGAGTGAATTTTCCCTTACGACCTTGAAGCGTTCTTTTGCTCCGCAGTGTTTTCACAGACCTGTAAAGAATGGTCTAGTCTTAACACACTATTACCCTTCAATCGAAGTTGGACATCGGATGACATAAGAAATCACGCATTTAGGGACTAATTGCGTTGTATGGGTAGATAGAAGTTTGCAAATGGCTGCTATCTGACACACACACACACACAAACACAAATGTTGTCCGTCATTCTAAACAAGTCATTCTTCACAACACTGTCAACTGCCATCCAGATATGTCCGTTCCCTCAGTTGCGAGTTTTTCTCTCGTTTTCGCACCAATCAAGACTACCTTGGGCGGCAGCGCAGCAACTAAGCGTCTGGAGCGACTGAAACGCCTAGCCGAAGTAGAATCCACACGCTCGCTGGATGAGGAGGAGGACAATGAAGAAGTCTCAGAACCGCCAGTTAATCAGGGCTTCCGCAAGGCCTCTGCTATGTTCCTTCGCGGCGCTTTCCCGCGCTATCAAAAGCACGTGCAGATGCGCCGGGCGACACAGGCGCATGTGGCCGCGGAACGGCGACTGAGTCGTGCCGACGACGATGTTCAACACTCCAAGCGTTCAAGTGGA